GACGATGGCATTAGCCGAAACGGCCGTCAGCCAAACTTCACAGTTTAATAAAGTTGAAACAAAACAGCTTCGTGTTGTTGAAATTTTATTTAAAAAACTTCTAACTGCAAAATGGGGTGTAATCTTTAACCGAACATGTTTATCTGAGAACCTCATACCAAATTATATATATATATATATATAATATATATATATATATATATATAATCATACATCGGCTAAAATAAATTTTTGCTAAAAATCTTGATCCATAGAACCAAAAACGTCAATGAAAAATTAATTTAAAAAAACATTTAGCTTTTTATCTATGTTTAGAATATCGTCTAGTTTTCGATTATCGTCATAGCTTCCGTTGTTGAGTTGTTACCAAATAAGAATTTCGCTTTAAAAAAACTAGCAACTGGTAATGTTTGATTGCTAACGTTGCTGGTTTGTTTCAGTTGCGTTGGGCTTTTTTGATACTAATTTCTAAAATTACAAGTTGCACTGTTATTCCTCACTCTGCTCTGCAATGGATATTCTGATGATATATAATGCAGATAATCAATCACAATCATTCATTCATATTAATTTGTCTTTACGTTTTATTTTATTATTGTTATAAACGTGATATGTAAATTCATGAGAATGTATACCAAATGTATGGCTGCTCATAATTACTGTAATAACGATTACTGACAATCATACATTTGAGTACCTTTTTTTGAATCATATGAAGCTGAACCAAATTTCATAAACTTTTATGTTGTCTCTTGAATTTGCATTGTATATATAAAAAATGGGAAAATGTCTGCTTTCAATTTTAATAATTTCTAGTTATTGATCAAAGCCAGAGTAAATTCATGACTAATCTGCCTATATATTGTATGCCATGGATATGAAATGGACTTTTTTTACCAAACTGTGTTAATTCAACATTTAATCAGTGATAAAATAAGTAATATTTAAATAAATTTTTTTAAAATGTATTTTCAATACTTTACTTTTAGCGACTAAAATAAGGATAGTTTTATATTTAAGTGCAAATCATTTACGTAAGTCAATGGCAACTAATTTGACAACAAAAAGTTACAAATGTTTAAAAATATTTTATTAAAAATGTAAATGAAATGAAATATCTTTTTTATCATAAAGACCTCCAATTGATATAACATTATCTAAAGTTTATCTCAAAAAAAGTTATATTTTGTATGAAAAAATGAATTAGATAAAAAAATGAATTATTAATTATTAAAACTGACAAATAATGTAAGGAAAGGGTTAAAATTGATAAGTTTACATTCTGGAATGAAAAAAGTTGATATAATGATGACTTGAAACTAGTTAATATATTGCTGCGGTAAAATTATGATGTAGATTAATGATCAGATATTTACAAATGCAGATGAGAATGCAATAATAAACTCTTGCAGAAAAAATACGGAATATTATAAAGAGATTTAAAAAATGCACGTTTAAATTGAAATCAAAAATTTGATAACATTAAATGATTGGATGTGAAGGCATACATGTTAGGTAAAGAAGGTCTTGAAAATAATTTTGTTAATTGATGAATATATAAAAAGGTATAATGAACATTTTTCAATAATCGGGTTTGATTTATACTTACAATATTAATTTTTTTTGTCGTCAATCTGAAACAATCCTGATTGGAGGCGATCTCAATGGCCACGTTGGAGAGAAAACAGATGGTTTTGACAACGTACATGACAGTTTTGGCTATGGAAAACGGAATGAAAATGGCAACCGCATCCTTGAGTTTGCTGAAAGTCACGGGTTTTGTTTACTGAACACATATTTTAGAAAGAAGTTGGAACATCTCATAACATACAAAAGTGGACCATCAGCCACGCAAATTGATTTCTTCGTTGTCAAGCAACAACGCCGAAGGCTATTCAAAAACGTGAAAGTTATACCTGGCGAATCATGTGTCGCCCAACATAGACTTCTTGTGGCAGACCTGGTTGTCGAACTGTCAAAACATGAGTCTAAACAAATGCCTTGGAGATACAAAACGTGGAAGCTAAAAAGCAATATTCATCGAGAAAAATTTCAACAGATGGTCGCAACACAGTCAGACCATCAATCGCAAACCAGTACAGATTGGAGTACATACAAAACCGTTTTGATAAACGCTGCAACTACAGTTTGTGGGAAAACTGGTACAAAACGTCAGCATGACCGGGACACTTAATGGTGGAATGACAGTGTACAAAATGCAATAGCTGAAACAAAAGTTGCATACAAGCAATGGCAAAAATCAAAGTCTGTTGATGACCATAAAATTTTCCTTGAGAAAAACAACTATGCAAGACGTCAAATTGCACTGGCTCGGACAGATCAAGCAGAGAGTGGCTCACTAAAAGCAAAGGTGAACAAATGAAATCTCTGTATCGTATAGCAAAACAAGCAAAGCGTACGAAAAAAGACATAGTTGGTGCTTTGTGTATCAAAAACGACAAAAATGAGATGGTTCTTGAACAAGATGAGATCAAGCTACAGTGGAGAGAATACTACAACCGTCTGTTAAACGAAACAAATCCCATCAATGTTAACTTTGACGCTCCACGCATCGAAGGCCCGATTTCAGACATCACTGTAGAGGAGCATACAGAAGCTCTGAAAGCTATAAAGGATGGAAAGGCAGCATAGCCCTCGGGACTCACATATGACCTTATCAAAGCATCTGGTACTGCAGGTATCCAAATGTTACTACAACTTTGCCGTGAAATCTGGAGAAATTGCTCAATGCCGACTGAATGGAACTATAGCATGACAGTCTCGCTATACAAAGGCAAAGGTGATCCATTGAACTGTTCATCATATCGGGGTATACGTCTGTTAGAACACTCCCTGAAAATTGTCGAAAAAATCATTGGGAGAAGATTAACGTCGTGCATCACAATCGGAAATTATCAATTTCGTTTCCTAGCGGGGAAATCAACAATTGATGCAATTCACATCCTTCGGCAACAGCAAGAGAAGTACTTCGCAAAGCATCAACAACTATCACACATTTTTGTAGACCTTGAAAAGCATTTGATCGAGTTCCCCGTGAAGCAATCAGGTGGAGTCTACGTCGACAACTCATTCCAGAATATCTTGTTCGACTTGTGATGGAAATGTATACGAATACTAAGAATCTTGTCAGCACAGCAGTTGGAAACACATATGCATTTGACATCGGTTCACCAATGCTCGATTGTCAGATTTTTTACAACTGTGATGGAAAAAATCACAAAACCGATACGCACTGGTGACATTTGAAATCTAATATATGCTAATGATATCGTTTTAACAGCCACGTCTAAGCAAAATGCAGCACAGATGTTTGAAGATTGGAACACCAGACTTGCTGATCATGGATTCAAAGTCAACATCAGCAAAACCAAAGCAATGAACACTGGTGAACCCATCCAATCCACAGTTACTGGAAGATGGCCCTGTTCAGTTTGTAAAGCTGGTGTAGGTAACAATTCAATCAAGTGTCAGCTGTGTAATCAGTGGTGTCACAAACGTTGTTCAAAAATAATTGGTACTTTATCTAAAGTGTCCAATTTTGTTTGTCCTGCTTGCATCAATCTACAACAACAAATTCGAAATAGCACTGTTTTTGAAGTCATTAAGGTAGAGAAAGTCACATCGTTTTAATATCTAGGGGATGTTCTGGATGGTACTGGAACAGCTGAAGCTGCCGTTCGAGCACGCATATGTGCAGCCTGGAATAAATGGCATCGCCTTGCCTCTATATTGATGCGGCGTGACATCTCACTACCACTACGATCAAGACTTTATAAATCTTTGATACGTCTGGTGTTGTTATATGGTGCAGAAACATGGCCAATGACAACCAAACTGGAACAACAACTTCAACGAACCGACATGAAAATGCTCCGATGGATGCAACGAATTAGTCAGAAGAACCACATCAAATCTACCGAAATCCTGCGTCGTGCTGGTTTAGATGATATAAAGGACGAATGCCGGCAACACCGTCTGCAGTGGTTTGGTCATGTCAAACGAAGTAGAAACAGTGCCATAACTTCTCTTGCAGATGTTGAAGTACCTGGCACACGTCCCAAAGGCCGTCCAAAAAAGTCCTGGTCGCAAACAATCAAGCAAGACATGAAAGATCTAAATTTAAATATAATGGATACAACTGATCGTCTAATTTGGCGCAAAAAGTTGATGGCAAAGAAAACAACGTCCTACCTCGGGGAACCGGGTCTCTGGACGCAAAACGAAGATTGATTGATTGCATGGAACACACAGGCGTTTTGATTTTGTTGAGAATCTGTGTCTGTCAATTCAAATACTAAGCAAATACTTTCTAATTATAAATGTATTATTGTTTTTAATATTATTTTGACAAGTTAAGAATTAAGATTCTCTAATAGTTTAATCTCAATGTCATGTCATGTGTACATAACTACTTATGTATGTGTAGGAATGTAAAATGTATAAAACGAAATGTATAAATGCAGAAAATTGTACTAAACCCTTTTCTTTTTTAAATTTACTAAATATAGTATATAATATATAAAATGCAATAAGAAATCGAATTTAAAACAGCAAACGAGACAAAAACTTCGCAAGCGATAATTTCAGATCAGACGATTAATCAAAGACGCTGAAGAAGACAACGACAAGATCAAGCGTCAGTGCTTGATCTATAGAACAAAAAACAATTTTTGTAATAAATTAATTTTTATGTCATATCAATTATATCCATGGTTTTGACATTGATATGCTGGTAGACAAAACAAAGAAAAGTAAACAAATAATGTGTTATATTTTCTTTATTCAAATAAATTTAAAATTAAAAAAGCAAAAAACTTAAATACTACACTTGTTTTGCTATATATATCATTAATTTTTAAAAGTTTAAATTTTAAAAATATTAATCGAAACGACTCACGATCTTTTATCACATATCGTCTGTCAGCGCCAATTCTTTTTGTTTTCATTGTGCCTCACAATATTTTATAAAAAAATTAACAATGGCCGCTATTTATCCCAGCGTCAGTGGTATCTCATCAATGCAGTTAAATGCATTAAGTGTAAAAAAGGAGGACTGCATTAGTTGGTGTCAGGAACACGGAATGTTGGCACAATTTCGGGTTTGTAAAAAATGCGGACATGAGATGGAGATGTTGCCCAAAAAAACTTGAAAGATGGGGTCTGGTTTTTTGATTGGGGTCTGGTTTTTTTTCAGAAGAGTAAACTTCAGATTGAAAAATGTGTCATGGTAAATGTATTTTAATATGAATTGATATTGATTAAAAAAAAATAAAAATCATGGCTAGGTTCAATAATGTGAGTTCTACCGGTCGTTGAACGACGTACAACAAACAACTGTATTAACGCTTTTGCAGATATTGCAACACTCCATAGTTGATTGGTTCAATTTTTTGCGAGAGTTGTGCTCTTCATGGATGGCCGCTCAACGTATGCAAATCGGGGGTCCTGGTGACATAGTCCAGATTGACGAAAGTGTGGTCAGCAGTTCAAAAAGAACTTGAAACGGTCCTGCAAGACCTTTTCGCCAAAGATGGGCCTTTAGTGAAATTGACCACGACATCAACAACGCATCAGTTGAGGTTGAGAAAAAAGTCGCCGAGACGTTGCTCCCCTTAATTCAACGTCATATTTTGCCTGGTAAATTAAAATTAAATTTCATGAATCAAATCTGAAATACGTTTCATACTCACCATGCTTGTTTAACAGGTACAACAAAATGGCCTGATGAATGGAGAGCGTTCAATGCCATTGGTAATATTAGCTATCAATATGACACCGTCAACCATTCAAGGAAGTTTAAGGCTCCCAGCAGTGTACACACAAATAAGGTGGAAAATCTTTGGAGGTGCGCCAAAGACAAGTTCAAAGGATTGAAAGAAACATGTGATAACCACTTGTCCTCCTATTTGGATGAATTTATGTGGCATAGGAGCATTGCCAGAAAGAAAGATAAGTTTGAAAGGACGCTCACTCTAATGAAGACATTTTTGTCCCAACAAAGGTTCTTTTCAGAGCCACCCAAGCTAAAAAGGGCTTAAAATGAAATATAGAATAACAAAAAGCCATTGTTATTCCTTATACAACCGAAACAAAGTTTTATTTTATAACATTTTAAAAGTTTGTTAAATAATTTAATTTATTTGGTTAAGAGAATGGATCTGTGTGCTGCCATTCGTTTTTCGATTATGGAAATTTTCAATTGCATCGTAAATTGCGTCGTAAAATCATTTAATTATAAAAAAAAATTAATGAAAAGCTATTTAACATAATTGTAATTTAATTCATGATATAAGTTTTAAAATCTAATTTCATTTTTAAAGCTTTACATCTTTTCATCATTGTCTATTTAGTTCCTATGCATGTAATAAGTGACCGTAAGTGACAATCAAAAAAGGGGGTGGAGCTTAACTGCGTATTCTTCATGATTACCAAAATACTTAAAAGTTAAAAATAACAACATCTAAATAAATGAAAAAAATAACAACATCTAAATAAATGAAAAGAAATAATTTTACAACCTGCATCGTATTTTCAGGGGACGAAAAAAATATAAACAAATATCCACTATAAAAAAAATAATAAAAGTAATAGTTAATACATAAACTAAAAAATTAATAATCATTTTCAAAACAATTGAAATTAAAATTAAATTAATTTAAATCAAATTAAATTAGTTATTTTTAATTTAATTACTTTAAAAGATTTTTTAACTTGGTTTATTTAATCTACTAGCTGTTCTAATTTGAGTTTCATAATTTGAGGATATTACGTGCGCTCCATCTACGCATTGAATAAACTTTATCAAATATACAGCCAATGAAAATGCGCCATATGCTACATTTTCTAATTCACTTAGTTGTCATCATTAAAACATGTAAAAATATTATTTTGAAACTATGTATTATGCTATATAGGTACTATGAGACAAATGTAAAATAACGAAAATCGGTTCATCCGCTATCGAGTTATCAAATTATCGCTCCATTCATCACTAGCACCTTATGTTCACTCTACAATCACTGCTTAATACACTCATTCATCCCATCACAATGGAAATCCAGCACAATCCATCCAATTCCTAAAACAAAATACCCGTCATTACCAATAGATTATCACCCAATATTTATCACCCCCATACTCACACGTATTCTATAAAAATTCATCGTAAGGTCATTCATCTATCCATGTTTCAACCATCCATCAATCAAACCACTATTACAAGATCAGTTTACATTTCGCCCTACAGGTTCATCTACATCGCCATCATCTCTCTTACTTCCACAATAACATCTTTCCTTAAAAATAATAATTATGTTCATCTTATTGCCCTCGACTTCTCTAAAGCTTTTGACACTCTCAATCACTTCTCACTTTCAAATAAGTTAGCCTCCCTTGCTTCCACTACATGACAACATTTACAATATCATAATAAATTTTCTATCTAATAGGAGTCATTCTACTTTTTATAGCTCTACTTTTTCATCTAATTTCCCTATTAAATCTAGCGTAGTTCAAGGTTCTGTCCTTGGACCATCTACCTTTATCATCAATGCTTCTACTCTCAAAACTTTTCATAGCTTTAATCAAATCATCAAATACGCTGACGACACCTACCTTATCATCCTATCATCTAACTCAAACACCATCAAATCAGAACTCCACTCATCAACTGCATGGTCAAAACGATGCAACCTGTCACTTAATCTCAATAAATCATTCGAACTCATCATTCACAATAGCCGTAAAAAATAACATTACCTCCTGAACACCCATCAATCACTCGCACAAATCAATTAAAAATATTAGGCATCACATTCACCTCCACACTCAGTATAGCGCCTCATATCAATCACATCATCCCAAAAGGCTTTCAAACATTTCACGCACTCAAAACACTCCGCATCAAATTATTCGACATCACTGAATCACTCATCATCTCACGCATCAAATATACAGCTCACTCCTGGTCTGGTTTCGCTACCCAACAACAACTTCAGCAACTACAATCTCTCATCAAAAAACTAATTCGCTTCAATTATCTACCTGCATCATATCCTACCGTCACTCAGATATCCAACACACTCGACTCAAGACTGTTCATGAAAGTAGAAAATAACAACAACCACGTCATCCATCCTCTCCTACCACCAACAAAAAACTACAACGCACAACCTTCGTAAGCGCAAACATAACTATCAAGTCGTCGCCCAATCTACATACCAGGAAAAGACCTTCTTCACAAGACACCTCAAACATATTAATACTCACTAAAACTTTATTATTACAAAACTAAATTTTATTTATCGATCACCTCACTAACTCACTAAGTCATCATCTAGTCTATTAATTTGCCGTTACTTCATTTTATATTTCATTGTCAATTACATTTATTTTATTTATTTTATCATTATTATTTATTTTATTCTAACTTATTTCATTTTTCATGTTTTAACAATTTTCATCCTTACTTTTTGTGTTTATTTACTCCCTTACTTGTTTAATTTCGTACTACTGCCTTGCATGTTGTTACAGTTTCGGCGTCTGTCAGATTCTAATTTTTAAAGAATAATAATAAAAAAAAAATTTTACGCTTCAGGCACTTCTCTTATATATAGTTATATGATATTTTGATCGTCATGGCAAATAAACAAATTGAATTCGTTTCTTAATGTCATATCACTTTCTATAATAAGGGTTTCGAACCGTCGAACCAAAACATGGTGCTCATGATGTAGTTGCTGCAATTTATGAATAATTTTTCTTTTTAGTGCGGTTTTAATCGTTTGACGTTGATCAAGTTGTTTCTCCATATCGGCCAAAAAGAAAATTTATAAGAATTTGTGCTGTGCTTATCAACCGGTTGCAGGGATCCAATTCTATGGTGAATTTGTCCTTGAATCTGTAATCAAAACAAACTGTATACTCATGTGTTATATTATTCATTTAATTACACCAAAATTAATGAAATAAATTAGTTTTTTGTTCTTTCTTACGCAGCTCTAACATACACAGAACCGCTTACATATCATCCTTGTATTTAAACCTTCGTGCCACAAAGAATGTACTATCTACACGACACATATACACATTATGTATGCACGCGCAAGCACCGCATCAAACGAGAACTCGTAAGATAGTTTTTGAGTTTTGAACCGACAGTATTCGAACCCGGCCATCACGTAACTGCACAAGACATGGCACATCAACCGACTGAGCTAACTTATCTGAAATTACCTTGAATACAAAATTGAATCTGGGTTTTTCAATCGATAATATTAGCTCCAAAAACGATGTCATTTGAAAACGCATGTTGTACCTTTGAAAATTTGAAAAAAATAATAGTGATTTTTCAAATAACTCCGAAAAAATTATCACTAATCATTAAAACTAATACTAATGTTGATATTATTACTAATTTTTCAGTAGATTTATCAATCTGATATTTAACAAAACAATGAATAATTTTAGTTTTATTTATATCACTTTTAAGTATCAGATTGATAAACGCCACTTGATAGAAAAGATTTCTATTCGCCAACCGAATATTTTCACGTGTGGCTTCTAGAAATTCAAAATTTCTAACACGATAATCCCCTATATTGCGATTTCTCCGTCTTTTTCAGTTCAGTTAATTCATTGATTTGCTATTAAATATATCTCTAAGCCTAATTGCTTTACGAGATCGTCAAGAAAAGATTCGACGTTCTACGTCGTGGCATTTTAATTTATATTGAAATTGAATAAAATAATTAGTAACAATAATTTATCGAATTAAATAAAATGAAATAATTTTACAACCTGCATCGCATTCTTAGGGGACAGGAAAGAATATAAACAAAGATATATGTATACAAGATAATATAATAATAATAATAATGGTGAATACACAACTAAAAATTAATAATAAAAATAAAAATGAAAGTTTTACAAATGGCGGTAAAGATAGCCGGAAAACGTGCTAAAACGCCGCAAAAATCAAAACGAACGAACGAAATATCATTTTTAGAAAAAATTAAAATTAAATTAATTTAAATCAAATTGAATTAACTAGGTGTAATTTTTTAACTTGGATTAAAAGCTCCGCTTATTTTGAGTGTCATAATGTGTGTATATCATAGGCGTTTCATATACACTTATGAATAAACATTAAACATATAACCACTGAAAATGCGCCATACCCTATATTTACTTATTGTCATCATTAAACCATTAAACAAAAATCTTATTTTAAAAGTTTCGACTATGCATTATAGCAGTGTACTATGAGCAAATAAAACAAATACTGGAGAAAGCCTATAGGTTAAATCCATCTAATTCTCTTTATTCTATCTATGAATCTGAATTGATTAATTATAAATATCTACTATTCTCTAAACACTACTTTTCTTAGAAATTCTATAACATCTGCTTCAACATCTAAAAATAGGTGGTCTGCTCTATCTAAACTTCTTCATAAGAAATCCTCTCACTCATCTTTTTCTGCTCATCAGCTTCATGACTTTTTTGTAAATAAAATTACTTCTTTATGAACATCTAATTCTAATTTTTCTTCTCATAATTTGACTAAACTTACTACTGAATCTTTTTTCTTTATTTACTCCAATAAATCTTTTAGAACTAACTGAAATTATTAATTCTATGTCGTCTACAACCTGTTCTCTAGATCTATTTCCTTCTAATTTACTTGAAGAATTGTCTTCAATATTTTATCCAATCATTCTCAAATTAGTTAATTTATCTCTTTCCACCTATAAATTTTCTACTTCTTATAAGAATTCTATTGTTATTCCTATTCTTAAAAACTCTCTTTAGATCCTCCCTCTTTATAGACTAATATTACTTTCATCTCTAAAATAATAGAAAAAGTAGTTTTTAATCAACTGTCATCTTATTTAAACTTTAACTCCTTGCTATCTGTATCTCAATCTGGTTTCAGACCTGCTCACAGTACTGATACTTTTTTACTTAAAATACACAATGACCTTACCCTTCTCTCTAGTGACAATAGTAATCTTACTCTTCTTCTTGCTCTTGACTTTTCCTCGGCTTTTGATAATGTTGATCATACTATTCTATTGAGAATGATAAATCATTCTTTTAATATTATTGATTCTTGTCTATTTTGGTTTTCTTCTTATCTCTGTAATCGTTTTTCTTCTGTTCTCAATAATTCTACTTCTAACCCTCTACTCTTACTTTCGGGGTACCTCAGGGTTCTATCCTTGGCCCTCTTCTATTTATATACTCTATACTTCTAAACTACCTCGTATTATTAATAACTTTTCTTTCTCTAGTCAACTATATGCTGATGATTCTTACATTTATACTTCTTTTCCTCCATCTAATCTCAATAATGTTCTTCATAAATTATCTCTATGTCTTTCTTCAATTATCGCTTGGTCTGACTCTATGTGTCTTAAACTTAATCCTTCTAAGTTTGAATTAATTTGTTTCAATAAATCTAAACACTCTATTACTATTCTTCCTATTATCTTACCTGATTCTAAAACTCTTGATGTCTCTCATAAGTTTTGTAGTCTAGGTTATCTTTGATTCTACTATATCTCTCT